AGAAATTTGGTCTTTTTCCGAAATTTTTGGGACTAAAAAAGTTTCACTTTTTTTCATTTTTACTTTTCTACTTAATAAGTCTTAGGTGTGATAACTAATAACTTTATCTTACAGATTCTTAGTTCTAAGACTAATTAATACTTTTATTGCAGATTCTTAGTTTTAGTAACATTTATTTGCATTTGTTTTAAAAGGGTTTTCCCTCTAGCATGTGGGCGTATACGACCTATATGTCCACGGACCGTGACTCATACCTGCTGCTGCGGTTCATTTCAGCATTTCAGCTATGGATAGTGTGACTGGACCACCTTCCCTCATTTCCGAGGGTTCAGGCCAGACAAATATATATATATATATATATATATATATATATATATATATATATAAATGTTTGCATACCTAGAATACCATTTTTTTTTTGTTAGAAATCGAATATAAAAAGAGAAATGTATAGAAAATAATCGAATAAGAGGAAAAAATTAATATAATATTCAATTGTTATAGGAGTCGGTTTATCCAGCGCCAGAAAAATCGCTAAGGAGGGTCGTGAAGGAAAATGGATAAACCCCCGGATTCTCCACACCTAAAAAACGACAAAAATGTACTCAAAAATATAGCTAGATCCTTGTGATGAAAGTATATTGGAAAGAAATATATGATTTTCATCTTCGCAATAAACAAGTTCCCACAATTAAAAAAAAATCACCAAAAATATGTAAATGAATTCAATTATGTAGGAAGTAGAGAAAGTATTTTATTTAATATTTCGTTAACTATTAACTTTATTAAAGATATTTTATACCAAAATTAAGAAGTATTGACGTTTTTGTCAATTTCTCTTTCGTTGCCTGGAGTAATTGTGTTAACTCAGAATTATGCAGCAGATTTGTAAAATGCAATTATATTGAAAACTGTTGAGTTTTGAAGTTATTAACAAGTATATATTTTGTTTTGTTAGAATAATTTATCTTTAATATTTTTTTGGCCCTAAAATGCCGGTAACTTGAAGAGTAAAAAACTTAAGTGCAAATTTATGCCAGATATGTAGGCATATCAAAGTATGCATCAAATTATAATTTCTCATATTTATTAGTGCCCAGTTGTAAATTTTTATATATAAATGTTCACAAACATAAAAGTTATAGCGAAAAATATAATTTTAAATTTAGACTTTAACACCCTGTTTCTTTCTTAATATTAACATTTTATTAAAGCAATTTGGCTTAAATTGTAATATTTTAAACTGTAGAATCTACGGTTTCTTTTTGTACAATTACTACTTAAGGACCACCCTATATATATATATATATATATATATATATATATATATATATATATATATATATTATATATATATATATATATATATATAAATGTTTGTTTAACTTCTGTCAGTACTACCATGAGTGCAACATGTATTTAATATTCAAAAAAATTATGTATTTTTTTACTTTTATTTCTAACAATTTTCTCGCTATAAAGTTAAAAGAGAACTAGGACATGGGCTTGTACATTAAAGTAACTATTTCAACAAACTTTTTCTACGCTGTTGAAATCTGTATCTAGATATGGGGCGGATACTGTCCACATAAAAATAAGATTGAATAATGCTGTGAAGAACTCGAAAGTATTGTAGAAATAAATCTCCAAATTATTTAATCTTGAAACTTATCGACAATACTTAATATTAACTGTTACGAAATTTAAGATAACATAGAAATAAAAAAAAGTAGCTCATAAGTCAGTCATTAAACTTCTACAATTAGGTACATGACTTTTCGGGATTATACTCCGTGGTTTAGTATATTTCTAACTGCCGCAGTTGCAGAACAAAACATCAGAAAGAAATAATTTCAGACTATGGTCTATAAATCTGTAAAATAATGTATTATTACAAAACACCAACCATGAAATCCTATACTCTTTGATTCTATAAATATTTTTTCAAACGACTTTTAATACGCATATATATATATATATATATATATATATAATATATTATATATATATATATATATATATATATATATATATATATATATAACCTAGAGCTAAGATTAATACTATTACAGGAATTAACCTCACCAGCCTTCCGGGTTGAACTTGATTATCATTGCGCCAAGCTTTCGACATCTTCTTCGGGGCTTCCAAGGTCTCAGTCTCCAGAGTTACTAGACACTACTACACCGGTCACTTAACAAAGCATTACTGGTAATGATAAGTGATCAGTGTAGTAGTGTCTGGGCACTCGGGAGATTGAGACCTCGGAAGCCATAAAGAAGACATCGAGACATGCAAGACATGCTTCTGCACCATGTATCACTGCAGCAGCAGATTCTGAGTAACGCGTTCCTCGTTCATTTTGTATGCTCCGAACATCTCCAACGTTTGTTGTGCTATACTAATTTGTCGTCCAACGTGTTGGCATGATGATCTTTGTGTGCTATAACAACTTTTAAAGCCAGTAAACAGCTTCTAGGACAAAAGTTGTTTAAAAAAATACTACAACAATATTACCAGCTTTTGTGACAAAAGTAGATACTATTTATTTTATTAAATATTTTAACAGAACCATTTAACGTTTCTTTGTTTCAAAGCAAACTTTATATGTTCTCAAAATGTAAGTAATTACATTAAAAAGTTATTTAAATGATGTTACTCGTTAACACAATTTAACTAACGATAAATTTATTACATGAAAGTTGCTAAAAATTACTATGGTATTTTTGCAAAAAAATATTAATAAAAAATCCGCGAAAAAATTAAATCTATAATTATTGTTTTAAATATCTACAATACTAAACAGGTTGGATATGTACAACCACAGTTACAACTTTTTTAGCCGATGTTGTCTTGGGAATTAGACGAAACATTAGGAATTAGGAGCTTCACCGCATGGTGCAATAGTTGGAACATATATGGTACTCTGGAATGACTCTCAAGGTATCCAGGACTTAATCCACTGGAGTACTTTTTACAACAATTCACAACAATTTAAATATTACCATTTTCTCAATAAAAGTGTAAATATTTCGAAAATTATTAACTTTAGACCTATAAAATTTGGTTCATTCCGTTATTTCGACTGACTCTAACTTTAAGGACTGTCTACTAACTTTTTTAAGGCATTCCCTTTTTAACCTTGATATTAACTCATTATTTTTTGTATGCGATATTTGTCATTTTTTACCGAATAGTACTACTAAGTAGAGAACACAAAGCAGTCTCATATTTGGTATTCGCAGTTTCCATTAGTTACACTCATTCTCTTTTCACTTTATTTGCTTTTTCATAAAGTTTTTAATGAAATTTTATTATTTTTTATCTATTATCTTATTAAACGTCATGTCTACACCCAAGTACCTGATACGGTAGTCTATACCCATTCTTGGCATTTGTTTGTGTGATTTCAGTGTTCATTTAACTATGCTTAAAAGTTGTTAATATTTTCGTGACTATATGTGTGACTATATTTGATGTTCTAATAATGGCAAAAAGAGAAGCGAGTGCTAGCGAATTTAGAAAGTAAGTATTTACAGGATATTTTTACAGTGTTTTATACATAGATCATTCATTTTTTTTTAGAATGATGCATGAAGAGCAACAGAATTACATGCAACAATTTATAGACTACTTAGATGAGGACGTAGACAAAAATATCTAAAACCAGAAATCAGATGAGTATGTTCCGTAAAGCAAAGCAAACCAAATTGAGAGCTTCTGACATAGAAGACGTTTTTACTATAATCAATAATAAAATTGAAATCGATACCGATGGCAATGCTAATGGTGATGAAGATTTTGACGATTTTCAAGAAAGTTCTTAGCAAAGTGATTTTAGTCGAACACTAAAACATAATACTTTGCGTGACAAAGCGGGCACCGTATATTCTATTTAAACACTTTCTGTTAGAGATACATTCAAATGTGTTTTCAGTTACGTAATATGTGACATAATTATACGTGAAACCAATCGAAAAGCTAATGATGTTTCTGAAAAGTATAATGCTGAAAACCCAGACAAACCTCGAAAAGTTTGAAATTCGCTCAGTACAGAAGAATTTGATGCATATTTTAGGTATTCTTTTTACAGCAGGAGTACGGCATTTAAATTCAGAGCACTCGAAAGATTTATGGAAAGCAGAATGTCATGCTTTGTACTATGCAAGTATGGGAATAAATCGTTTTCAGGGCATCAGCAGATTCTACGGTTTGACAATGACAAAACACGTGCAGAACGTTTGCAAAATGATAACACTATTACAGATATATTCCATTTTTCCAATGATAGTTTACGTCGTAACTATGTATCATCGGATCGTCTTACTGTTGATGAAAAGTTATACCCTTTTAGAGGTAGGAAATGTTTCACGCAATACATGTTATAAAAACCTGCCAAGTATGGCATCAAGGTTTGGTATGTTTGTGACGCCCGTAATCTATATCCACTACTGGACATATATATATATATATATATATATATATATATATATATATATATATATATATATATATATATATACTCGAAAAAAATTCAAGCGGACGTGAAACTAATCATGAACGCGTAGTAAAAGATTTGTGTCACATATATGTACAAACATTCTTGACCAAACATAACAATAGATAATTTTTCACAACTCTTCCCCTAACCCGTCTCCTGTTGTCTTGAAATTTATCATTAGTTGGTACTTTAAAAAGAAACAAACCATATGTTCCACAAGAAATGCTGCCTTCGTCAGAGCGTGAGCCTGAATTGTCATTATACGGAATCAGTGCAAATCATGTCGATACCTGATATGAAAAACATTATAACTCACTTTTGCTTAGTTTAGAAGAGAGCGATTTAAAAACATTTCTTAGTTTCTGAAAAGTGTAGAACTTTTCTGCAAGACGGGAAACAACTAGTGGTGCCTGCAATTTCTGCTAGATTTTAAGTACCAAATGTTAATAGAAATGTTTCATAGACACTTAGCATCATGATTTACTAAACGTTAGTGTTACCGGGTGCCACGGGTGTGGACGTCAAAACTTTGACAGGTATTTTTAATATAATATATGCATTTGTTTTTTTTGGTTTTTATTATAAATCCCTTAGTGCTAAGTAATTTTGGGAATAACTAGAAGATAAAATAAAAATATTTATACTATCGTAATGATTTACATAAAACAATTGCTAAGAATATCCAGGTACCTGGGTATAGACACAAAAGTTAAAGTGGAAAAAATGTTTTGATTTTTGTTCGTGTAAAACTTAGTATAACGAGGGATTTATAAGAATCGCTAAGATGTGACTACACCGTCTTGCCTATTTTTTACAGTTAAGGAGATTTCATACCACCAGGTCTTAAATTTTGAAATTTCCCGTATGAAAGAAAATTAAATAACAAAATCTATATATTTGAAGAACATTTTTGGTGACGTAACTAACATACAGCGATATGTGGTTTACCCAACCCGATCCAACCTAACTTCCTGTTGATATATTAGGATTTATATATAAAAATTTAAAAATCGTTTGAAAATGTACTTTCTTTAGCATTAAAAAGAGCATTTAATGGTGTTATTTTCTACTTTAATTAGGTAATATTGAGAGGCCATCAGCTGCTGATGGTAACACGACAGTACTGACTACATTTTCATTATCTTCTTCATTCGAAGTGGATACTTGAAGGTGTTGTGGTACTTGAATATGAACAGGTATTTGAATTTGGGAATTTGGAACCTAAAAAATGAAAAAAAATTAACTACTGTGTTATACATTTTCTTAGGGCATAAAATATCATGTGTATACACTTTTTACTGAATTACTTCCATTTGTGCAGTAAATTTAGTAATTAATTTTGTACTATGTTTGGTCAAATTTTGACTTCGATTAAGCGTTACTATAAAAGTAGCTAAACAGTAAAAAATTATTCCCATGAAGTTTATAAACAAAATAAAACTGCATAAATTAAATCAATTAAAATAATAAAATAAAGGTTTAATAAATACTTCTTTTTAAAATTTAATAGTCGTTTGTCGATTATTTATGATTATTCTTCATAGAGGTAATGGGTTTTGACAAGAGCTATGAGTTATGCGGATTCAGTACACAAGTTTACTTGATATTTACAAGGTCATAACTCTTGTCAAAATCCATTACCTATACCTCAACTCACACACACCCACGTACACCCACACACACCCTCAGTCACCTTCACCCCCACACCCACCTATATATCGTTCTAGGTGTCTTCTTCTTTTCTTTCTATCTAACTGTTCTATCTATTTTATTATTTTTGCGCTTCAAAGCTTTTATTCCATTATCATTACTCGCATTTCTCTCTTCATGTAGTTTATACTTTTGAGTATTACTAGAGTAGCACAGTACAAAACGCCATTTTTCTATTTTCACGTTAATATCTCCGACGAGAATAAGTCACTTTTCAAGCAATTTTTGTAAGCATGTAAAGTTTTTTTAAATTATTCATTTTATTGCACTGTTTTTTCTTCCGATGAAAGTGATTACGCTATAGTTAAGAATTTCTCCTTATACTTATTTTGAATATTCTGTGGTTGATGGATTTGATAGTACAGCTTGTTTTTCCCTGGTTGCAACACTGAATGCGACTCGAAAAGAATGTTAATGACAACTGAAGTAGATTGTACGAGATGTACATCTGTTATATGTAGCATATATCACTAAAAGTGGCCGATAAAACTCTCAGTGTATTTGTTCGGTACAATGTTCTTGCTTTACATGTTCTCATTCTTGACGTAATCGATATATTTTTAAGTATGTGGTCCAACAATTTTATAAAAGGGCCATTTCTTCTCATCAACGTTATCAATAATCAACCTAAAGCATCTCGTTAGCGCTGACCCTGAAACGTCACATAAAGTATTTTCAATTTAAATTGTGGTTAATTCCCATTAATACAGTAAATATTATCAATATCAAATTATGTACATAATTTCACAACACAATAGATAACTATTATTATATAATATATTATATGATGATAAATAAAAAGTAAAATACTTACTCCACCGACACTAATGGTAACTTGGGCAGTACTTGTACTTGACGTAATTGAATCTTTGAGTAATCCCTGCGTTCTCTCTGCTTGTTCCGCTTGTTCTTTTATTCTTCTAGTGATGTGAGACCTAGCATGTTTCCTCAAGTGATCCTTTCTATAGAATCTAAAGATGCAAATAAAAATATGTTTAAACAACTAGTTGGTTTTCTTATTTCCTTTAATATAGATCACTATTTTTTTTTCAAAAGCTCCGTTCTGGCGCAAATGGATCATGCATTTAACGTAAGTTCATTACAGTATATTCAAAGGTAAATGTCTCTTAGTAGTAGGATAATGTATACAATACACTGACTAACACGTAAAGTAGGGATCTTGGCCCGTACAGAAAAACGGAAGCGAGGGCACAAGCGTTAAAAACAAAAATGAAACCAAAATATTGAAGAGAACTACAAAAAATTAAATGGTGGACACTAAAAAGCTTAGCAAAGTGTGTTTAGGATAAACATGAAAAGTACGAATACAATTTGGAAAAAGTCGCTAGTTTTACAACAGATACTGCAATTGAAAGACGGAGGAGACCTCCAGGAAAGAAAACTGAGAATAAACACATTTGGTGATGTTCAAACTGAATTCAAAACAACCCCCTACCATAAAGTTCTTGCTATTTGTTGAATTTTTGTATAGGCACATAATCGTTTAACAAACTTAGTTGCCAGGAGATGGGAGTTAAACACTTAAAATCAAAATTTAAAATTTATTGAAAATATTTATAATTAAAAATGATTATGAATATATTTTTTTCTACATTATAATTATGAATCTATCTTATAATTACACTCTAAAATACAATATTTAGAAATTAAATTAATTTAAACTTAACATTAAAAGGATCTACATCACAGTGACTATTTAAAAATTTTAATCAAATGGATTATTTCAGGCATAATTGGTAGAATGAAAATTTATATGAAAAAGTTCAAAATATCTTAGTCTATGCAGTGGAATATTGAAGCTTATCTTACTTAAAAGTTCCGGACATTGAATTAAGTTATTTAATAATTTATAAACAAATACATAATCAAACTGAATTGGTCTGTTATAAAGTGTTGTTAGTTTTAATCTCTCTAATATTACTTTTTTGTCTATATTTGCAACTGGAATTTCCATTTTGTAACAGAAATAACTACGAACCTTATTCTTAACTTTCTCAATGGAATTGATATCCTGGTCATACATAGGAGACCAGACTAGCGTGCCATATTCTAGTTCAGAACGTACCGTTCCCGTCATAAAAAACTGGTACAACTCTCATAATCAAAAATCGTGTTTTTTAAGTTGTGTACATTGATCTTGTCATATGTGTCATTCTAATTTCTAGCGCACAGTTGCCAGTTCAACGAAAATATTATATCAAACCAGCTAAAAGCAGGACTGTGTGACAGACCGCCAGTTTAGAGTATACCACAAACTAAAACATTATCGAGCATTCTTGATCACTCAGTCACATTAAATTTGTTTAAACATGCATTCTAAAAAATTCTCATATTAATTTTGTAATTTTCCATCATCGCAATTAAGTACCCATACATTGATTTTTGTTTTATAACAATTTGTGAAAATATTTTAATTCAAAAATAATGACAGATAATCAATGTAGACAAACTTCAAATTGTTATAATAAAACATTACAGTGAGATATTGGATTGTAACTGTTACGTTTTGAAAAGCGTTTTTTTCGCCCCGAATATTTTATAGTTTATAATACGTAGGATAAAGTATAATGTCAGTTTTTCACATTTTTTATCGTTATTGTAATAAATGATAAATTAATCTTGGTAGTTTGCCTGTTACAAAACTTATTGACGCAGAATACAGTTCGGTAGGTAATTAAAGTATAAAATTACAGTAGATGCATTCCAATGTTCTCTGTGTCAATATCCTAGGTTTAAAGATCCTTCAAACATTTTGGATAATAATTCAATCCTATCTCTGCTTATTTAATTTCTTAGATACGATTTTTTGTTGTTAATGATATAAATAATACCTATCTAAAAATTTTATACATTTTTGGACGTTATTTTTTTATTTAGATTTTGTGCAATTCCGTTATCTGTAACGGCAACAACGAATTGATTTCTGAATACAGGTTTACATTGGGAAAAAAAAAGTGTACCAGTTTTATATGACGGGAAGTGTACAAGAGAACAATACACAACTTTCGTTACATCAATTGTGAACTCCCTATAGTTTCTTAATGTAAATCCAAGAAGTTTAAGACCTTTCAATTTAATCTGTGAAATATGGTCATTGAAATTAATGGTTTCACTAAAAGGGAAACCCAGGTCTCTAACTTGATTTTTATATATTAAGTTAACATTACTCATAGATATTCATCAAAGATAATTTGAGTCAAACTGTTTATTCCCCCTAAAAAAAATTATATAAAAGCATTCATCGATATTTAATGTGCGATTATTCTGTATACTCCAGTCCCGTAAACTGCCAATATCCTTTTGGCAATATATGTCAGCTATAGATTTTATACATCTATATAATTTTAAGCCATCTGCAAAGAGTAAAATAAAGAGATTAAATGGTAATGGTGAACAGTGGCCTCCTTGGGGACACCTGATAAAACCTCAAATGATTCAGATACGAAATTAAATAGTTTCACCCTTTGTTTTCGATCCGTTTAAAAAACTTGATATCCATTTTATGGCCTCCTTTGTAAATCCTAAATTGTTGAGTTTTTCAAGCAAAATGTCGAAATTGACTCTGTCGAAGGCCTTGGAGAAGTCAGTGTAGATTTAGTCTACTTGTTTTTTCCTCTCCAATGCCTGCAACAGATCCATTTCATATACTGCCAAGTTAGTAATAGTGGTTTTTCCAGCTGCAAACCCATGTTGAACTACAGATAATAATTCTTTACATTGCCAATATAGTTGATTGTATACTATTGATACTACGATAATTTTTTACATTATTTTTGTCACCAGCTTTAAAAATAGGTGACACATAGCTTTCGTTCCATTTTAAACTCATTTGGGCATAAATTAAACAGTAGGTAAATTGGTATGGAAATTGTAAATGAACAATGTTTCAAAAAATTATTTGGAATATTATCTGGTCCCGTTGAAAAAGAGTTTCTGAGTTGACATATATCATCATAAATATCAGAGATTTTAATAGTATATACACCAAGTGGCAAAAAAAGTGGTCACCCCATAAATTTCCGAAAATAAAAATTCATTGAAAGTTTTATGCACTGTTTCATATTGCATCTCAAATTAAATATTTTTGCGATCTTGTATACTTGATTTTGACAGTTTCGATGTTTATGGTTGAGGTCGTAGAAGAGCTACCTCGCAAAGAGATTATCGTTTTATTGTAATGGAACTTTTAAGAAATAGACATTCTACTGCAATTGCTAATCATCTGCCGGAGGTTCAAAATGGGAATATAAGTGAGAGAACGCTTAGAAGACGCTTCAATGAAAGAGGGCTAGTGGCAAGAAGGCAGGCTATTGTTCGTGAATTACAACCCAGACACTGTAGGAATCGATTAATTTTTTCTCGACAACATCAATACTGGGTGTTTGGGAAAGTATGTACGAATTCTTTTCATATTTTTACATTTAACATTTTTCTTTACGGTACTGTAACGTGATCTCGTTCAATGCTGTATTCTAAAGACCTTTTTAAACTTTAAACTTTAAATTATCGCCATTCAAAATCGTCCGACAATAGGGATTATTTATGGCACTTGCACACGAACTGTTGACCAACCAACGGTCAGAGGGTGGGTTTGCCCTAGTAACGATCTCAAGATTCTCAAGACAGGTACTTCAGACCAAGACAGTGAACGAAACGCACCATTGACCGGTCTCGTGTTAATAGCCTCGGCGTCCGTCCCGGACGTCGGTACCGCGACCAACTCTTCAGCCTGTTGAGAATACATCAATAGAACCAAAGGGTAAGTCTATGTTCTTTGTACAAACAACAATAATCAGTAAAACCAGTTAATTTCATAACTTATTCACAATTAATAGTTGCTATTTTTCGCTAATTTATTTACAAACAAATATTGCATTTTTTCTTTATAATTATTTATCTAATATCATTTAATCAGCGACCTCTTAAGTTTTATACAAACACTGGGATATACAGGATTAGAGTTGAATTCTCTTTACTGATGAATCATGGTGCTGTTTGAAGTCTGGCGATGGTTTGGAGATGGAGAAATAAAATATATGCCCAAGCTTGTATGTCCTAGAGAAGACAGTTTGGCGGTGGTGGTGTCATAGTTTGGGCTAGAATCTCACTTGAAGCTCAAACTCAACTTATTTTCATCAATGACTTTCTGAATATTTACTGGTATATAGAGGATGTTTTGGCGGAAGCAGTAGTTTCATTTTGTTCTTTTATTGGGTACAATTTTGTCTTTATGGATGATAATGCACAGTCGCATACTGCAAGTGTCCTGACATATTACTTGGGGAAAGCTAGAATTAAGACTCTAAAACAGCCAGCTTGCAGCCACGATCTGAATATCATCGAACATCTTTGGGATGAACTTCATTGTAGTCGTTGTATAAGTCAACCAAGCCAGCTAGAAAGTCTTGCAGAACTTCAAAACATGCTTTTTGAAGAATAAGAACGTATTCCTTAAGTTTTTATTCAAAATCTTTATGAGCGGTTCTAATATAGTACTGCCTCCCCAATTTTATACAGTTGAAATGGTTGAACTTAAACCGCTAGATATATAATATATATATATATATATATATATATATATATATATTATATATATATATATATATATATATATATATATATACATATGTCCAAAAGTTTGGAATACGTACAAATATTACATCTACGTATATGGTGGTTTTAAAATTGTTGTTGATATTCATTCTAGAGCGTTTTTAAATGAAAATGATATAAATTTTTAATCGTTTTTGTATGATGTTGGTCACATTCAACTGATTAGCGTATTTACACATTATTTCAGTCTTTGTTTAAATTTAAATTGAGCCGTTTAAAAATGCCTAGAAACGTGATATCTTATTTTGACAGATCTATAGTAATTGCTTTGTTACAACAGGGATTAAAACAAAGTTATATCGCGAATATTGCTGATGTTACTCAGAGTACTTTATCGAAAATTACAAAAACGTGGTATTAAAAATGCCATGTGGTATATCCAGAGAAATTTCTAGGCTTCAAGGACTAAATATTTCACGTTAAACAATAATACGCAGACTAAATGCGGTAAATTGGTATCGTAGAAGACCGTTACGTGTTCCTAAACTAACCGACCAACACAAAATAGTAAAGTTGCAATGGGCTAGAGAAATGGTGCATTATGGTCCTAACTGGAATAACGTGATGTTCTCTGATGAGTCAAAAATTGGCTTGGTATCTGATTCGCGAAGAACACTGGTTTGGAGGGCCCCAGTACAACAAGCCCGACTAGAAACAGTCCAACCGCGTGTTCATTTGAAGGTGGCAGTATTATGGTTTGGGGTGGTATTATGAGTGGTAGATGGACGCCACTGCTGGTTCTGGAGAGAAGAGTCACTGGTGCTGTGTACATCGAGGAAGTTTTAAATCAAGTCATACGTCTGTTGCGAGGGGCAGTAGGTGATGAATTTGTATTTATGCATGACAACGCACCTCCTCATCGAAGAGCAGCGGTACAAAATTTTCTGGAAGAAGAAGGAATAGCTACATTACAGTGGCCTTCGAATTTCCCCGACATGAATATTATTGAACATGCTTGGGACATTCTCAAAACACGCATCAAGAAGCAAAACAATCCCCCTATTACACTTCGAGAACTAAAGGATGCTGCTCGTGAAGAATGGGAGAGAATTCCGCAAGCCCAGCTCGACCAGTTAAACGGCAGCATGCCAAATCGCCTACAGGCATGCATACAGGCCAATGGAGGAAATACTAGTTATTAGTTTTATTAAAAATTTATTTTTTGCTATACTAATTTATTTTTAAATGTAAGTTGTACACTGTAAGTTTTTCACCCCAAGGGAATAAATCATTTTTTTGCATATCGTTTATCTGGTTTTGAGATTTATTTAGTATTGTTGAGAATTGAAACAAAATGATGTTTAACTATTCAGAAGAGTTTATATACATAAAAATCAATAAAACGATGTAATATTCCAATATTCCAAACTTTTGAACAAATATATATATATATATATATATATATATATATATATATATATATATATATATACACGACGCATGATGGCAGCCAATGAAGACTCAAGGAATGATGAGGATATATTATATCACTAAGTTATTTATAAATTCAGGAACCTAGTTTTCTATAATTATAGAACCAATCAATCACAGATCAATAAAAAAAGTTGTAGAAGCAGAAGTTGTGCAACTAACGAATTATCTAGCGAACTAATTAATTAGTTGATAAAAGTGACAATAAATGTTGAAAAGAAAGGTTCCTTTAGTTAAACCAACTTTTGGACAATGGAATACTAAACATTCAAACGTTTTCAGCTAGGTATTATTGATCACACAATTACGGTACAATAGGCCGACGCGTGGATACATCACTAAGAAATAATCCAAAGTTGTAATGTGCCATTATCATAAAACATATCGTAATAAAATGGTTTCATTATTTAAATCGGTTTCATTATTTAAAATAAATATGAATTTATTAGTAGAATAAATGAAGACGAAATAACAGTGATCGAATATATGACTACTTTAACAAAAATATATGACTTACCCTTTGCCACATTCTCCACATATTTCCGTCTTCTCTCCCGAATGAATAACAAAATGCAAGTTGAGATGTTCTTTCCTCTTGAACCCTTTCATACAGACTGAACAGACGAAAGGTCGTTCCGGATTGTGACCCAACTTGTGCCGTTCCAAGTGCTCCTTGCGTTTTAGACCAGCTCCACAAATGTCACAGATGAAACGTCGCTCGATTTTGTGGCCCACCAAGTGTTGTTCGAGGAGCTCTTTTTGTGGATACGCCATGTGACATTCTGGACAGCAGAAGAGAGTAGTACCATCGAGAGCTGTAGCAATGTGTACTTGACCTGAACATAATAAGAAAAAAGGATATATACAAACTTGTATGAACAAAGTACGAAATACATTAACGAAAATAATACACTTGTACAGTCTAGATCTCAGGTTCTGATTGCAAAGAAACCATCGTTTCAGCACGTAACTCTTGCTTTTTTCAAGATTATAAAATGTATAAGATGGAGAACAAAAAGATATACTAAAATATTTTTAAAAAAACCAAAACGTAAGTTTTTTTTCTGTCAATTTAACTAATGTCAGTGTCTTGCTGTACGTTTTGATAAGTTTTTTTTTTATATATTTTACAATAACTTTTTGTTCGCAATCTTGTACATTTTAGAATCTTGACAAATGCAAGGTTACCTGCCGAATCGTTGATTTCAATGGTAATATAACGTCGCGACGTTTTATAATTAATTCATTTGTTCGGCTGGACTCCTTCTCCAGTCGATATTTTTCGGTACGTATCAAAGCGCCAAAAATCTACAATTTTACGTAGATATGGAATTAAAATATTTTACTAAAAAAATTGTTATATTTTATTGCCAAATAGCATAAAAAAGTAGATTTCTAAAAATTAAAATAAAAACAATTCCAAAAATAACATAATAATATTAAAAACAAAAATTCAATGTTATAGATGTTCAAATATTCCACCTCTTTCTATGGAGCAATAACCACATCTGTTGTACAAAGATACTCTCATATCCCTGAGCAGTTTCGGTCTAATGCTTCCACAAAGATGAATTATTTTGTCCCTCAATTCCGCTAAATTTCGGGCTCTTTTAAAACCATGTCGATAAACACTTGCTTTTAAATATCCCCAAAGAAAAAAATCATTTGGGTATAAGTCTGGTGATCTGGGAAGCCACTTGATCGTACCACGAGAAGAAATTTATTTCCAAAAATGATTTAGAAATAATTTTGAACTGCTCGTATATTGCGAGCAGGACAGCCGTCTTGCTGAAACCAAATATGGTCAAAGTTGACAGGAAGTAATTGAACTGCTGGAATAATTTCATTTTGCAATAATTCTAAATATTTATTTCCCGTTAAATTACCATCAATAAAAAATGGATATAGTCCCCAAAATACCTGTCCAAACATTAAGTTTTTGGGGATATTGTGTTCGTACTGGAATACTCAAGTGTTTATTATGCCGAGACCAATACCGTTCGACAGAAGGATTATGTTTCCGATGTAACGAAAATGTTGATTCATCGGTAAACAAAATGTTTTTTAAAAAATGTTCACTTTCATTTTGTTTATTCATCATCAGTTCAGAAAATTCCATGTTTGAAATAGTCCTCGGCTAGTAACTCTTGAGTTGTTGAAACTTTAAAACAACGATAACCATTCCGTTCCAAAATATTCCTGACAGTCCTATCATTCATGTCAACTTCAGCAATAGTTTTGCTTGAACAAGGATCACTAGTTTCAGCAACACTACAAGCATCAATTTTCCTATTTTACCAAACTTCGTTGACTATTTTCTCTCGTGGTACATCCGTACATTTTCTACAGTTTTGTACACAACCAAACGATTCAATTTTTTTAATAATACGACTAATAGTTGATTGTGTCGATATGGGTCTATCTTCATAGGCACAAGTAAATAAATTTATAATATCACGGTACGAGTTGCCCCCAAAATACCATTTTAAAATTTGTACTTTTTTTCGTTTGTATACATGGTTTTATGGTTAGAAACACTACTTTCATTTCAGCTTATGGCGTTATAATGAGAAGCAAAGGGCATAGGTATTTGTTTTGCTCGGCCAGTGATGTTCCTTGGGACTGTTGCCAAATCGGTAGATACCTTCGGCAAAAATCTGTAGATTTTGATATATCATAACATTATTTCAAATTTTAAATTATCAACAATATTTGGAATAATAAATGTATTTATACACTAACCAATTCAAATAATATCTAATGAACACAAAAAAAATTGTTATTAATAAAACATTGTTATTATCTGCACAAAAATACAGAAAATCGGTGGACGATACAGCAGTGTCGACGTACGCCTGCCGAATACGCTTCTACAAATCACGAAGGAGCAGCAATCCAGTGGAATAAACATATAATTTAAAAAACATCGCGACGTTTAATTGAAATTTACACTGGGTAATTGCAAATTAGGGGATCTCAGTAATTATATTAAAAATCCCTATGTTCCGTCTAAAATTTCATAAAAATCGGTCAAGCCGTTTCGGAGGAGTATGGAAACGAACTCTGTGACACTAATATGGCTATTAAAAAATAGAGATTGATGATAGAAAATGAAAATTAAGGGTTGCATGTATGTTTCATTCCACTTCATAAACAATAGAAATAAAAAATTTTATCCAAAGAATAAAAACGATGTTGGGGTGGTCCAGCCTTATTACTTAAGACTAGTATATTAATATTATATATATATATATATATATATATATATATATATATATATATATATAATAACCTAGAGCTAGGATTAATACTATTACATAAATTAATATTAAACTCAACAGTCCTCCGGGTTGAACCGCATCGATTATCATTGCGCTGAGCTTTCGACATCCTATTCGATGTCTTCTTCGGGGCTTCCGAGGTCTCAAGTCTCCTGAGCCTCCAGAAACTACTACACTACTACACTACGTAGTACTGTCGTACTACGGTACATACAGGGTGTAGGATGTCGTCGTACATCCTGTCTACCCTACTGTATAGAATGCACACCGCCGATATCCCAATAACACCAGGAACACTATTCAGTCTTTATACAGACGACACAGTGATTGCGCAAACCATAGAAATCTCGATATAGCGGTAAACAATCTACAGACGGCATTGGATAACATAGAAGAATGAAGTATCCAATGGAAAATAGCCATTAATCAAAATAAGACACAAGCGGTTCTCTTTAAAATGAGAAGATAAAATCCAGAAGAAAAGTTGACTGCAAACAATCCCGTCGAATAGAAAAGAGAATGGAAATGCCTCGGAGTTATATGGATCAAGGATTGACATTTACGCCTCGCATAGTCCAAAAAACAACGACCAGAACCTCAATAATAGGACTCACTGGTAGAAATAAACTTCGACTAATCTATCTACTATTGTCTAATAATATCTTTTACTGTTTTTAACGGAAATTAATCACAATTTAACGTTTATTTTGAAGTTACGACTTTTACTTTACGACATCGAAACGTCAAAATAAACGTATTTTTAACTGAAACTCTGGTTAATTGTGATTAAACAAAGTAATATAATATATAATATAATAAAATGCCATAACAAAATGCCTTCCGAACTGCAATAATATTTGTCGTCATCATTTTCTGATAATTACTACTAATATAACAAACATACCTGGTTTAGGCTTTTTTGGCTTCGGAGGTTTCTTTTTATATTTTTTTTTCTTTTTTCCTTTGTCGTTGGAATCATCCGGGTTCTCCTCAGTCTCCATCTCTCCTACATCTTGCATGATCAGATGGCCATTAGCGTCAGGAGCAGCGATACTCACTGCTTCAATCAAACCATCTTCCGAGATTATCTCCCTCTTAATATCTGTAGTGTTGAACTTTAAAAACTGTTGTAGACTGAGAGGTAACGTTGTATTTTGCATTTTTTGAATGTACTCGTGCAGATTTGTCGTTTGTAAATATTGAGTGGGAACTGAAATAGAAGCTGTCGTTTCTTCAGTGTCTTTAAGCTCGCTTTTGATCAACGCCACTGAAGGTTGTTGCTCCTTATCGTTTTTGTCTAGTTCAGTTGCATGAGTTTGAATTAATTGTATGTCCTGAGGTTGGAGCGCTGCAACTACTGTCATGCCCTCTGGTACACCGTTTTGGCCATCCAACTAAAATTAATTGTAAATATTATTTAGGCTAGTGATTTGGTGAAAGCAAAATTTTTCGGCTATTAGATATTACATCCGATAATGCATCAGAACACAAATATTGGCTTGTCCATGTTATTTGTCCAGATGAGTGACCAGATATTTTATGTCATCCTTTTGGAGTAAAGCATGTGCATCGAGGTTAACTTGTGGACATATACCTCTTCTTAGAGTAAATGCAATATGTGTGGATTTTGAGGGATTTACTTTCTGGATTACTATGAGATGTTAGAAAAACAGTATCATCTGCAAATGTTGCAACCGTAAGGTTCTTTCTTGTTGGTAAGTCAGCCGTATACAGGGTGTACCTTAAGTAATTGTACAAAAAGAAACGGTAAATTCAACACTTTAAAATATTACGATTTAAGCCAACTTGTTTTAATAAAATGTTGATATTAACAAAGATACAGGGTGTTAAAGTGGAAATTTAAAATTTTATTTTTCGCTATAACTGTCACGTTTGTAAATATTTATAGATAAAAATTTACAATTGGATGCTTTTGAGTAGGATGAATTACAATTTGATGCACACTTTGATTTGATGTAGCTGATAAAGGGCGCCACATATGCTATATATGTCATAAATTTGGGCTTAACTTTTTTGCTCTTTGAGTTAGCGCTATTTGTGTCAAAAATTATTAAAGATTCATTATTTTAACACAAAAAAGTATACCTGTTAATAACTTCAAGACTCAACAGTTTTCGAGGGAATCACATTTTACAAATCAGCTGCATAATCTTGATTTAACGCAATTACTCCAGACAATGAAGGTAAATTGACAAAAATATCAATACTTCTGAATTTTAACTAGAGTTAATAGTTAACGAAATATTAAATAAAGAACATAAATATATCAGTAGGATAATATTAATAATAGGATTTGATAAAATAATAGGGTAATAGGATTTTAAAAATCAAACATTTTAGGTTTTATATTGAATTAGTCGTAATCAAACCATATTATTTAAAAACCAAATTAAGAATTAGTTAGATTAATTAAAAATAATATTAAAATTAAAATAATGTTAAAGTTTTTGTCAAAATAAGTGTTTGATATGCTCACCATTTTCTTCAATGCATTTATCAATACGTTCCATAAAAGATCTTATATTAAATAGTATCATTGATTCAAAAGAAACTACTGTAGCATTTATTTCTTCCCAAAGTTGGTTGCGAATGTTTATGTGCAAACTTCCAGATGCTAAACCAAACGTAGCAGGGGCTACTCTTACCACCAATTCAAATGCCATTATGTGTACACGTAATATAAATTTTTACAAAATTGTTTATAACCATCTCAAAAATATGAAAGTTGATATTAAAAAAAAAACAAAAAAAAATAAATAAATAAAAAAATATAAGAATAAGAATAAAATAATTATATACAATAAAAAAAATAGATCCAAAAAAGTACATTTATGAAAAACAATACACAAAAAGGTCTTAAACCTACGAGGTGTTGAATCGGGTTTAGGTCTTAGCGCCGTGGGAGAAAATCTATTTACATATAGTTAGTATTAGTATTTAGTTTTAGCATTAGTTATTATTGGTATTTATTAAAATATAATGCATCTCAGCTAGAGCTAGGGGATTCAATATATGGAAATGATAATTTTATTTAAATTTTAAGCTGACCAATTGGTCTAAACCAAGGTCATTATTCTAAACACACGAACATAACATTAAAAAATGTATGATGACTAAAAACAAATTTATAGAGAGTAGTAAATCGATGTGAAGACCGGTATTCCGTGACGCTAGTCGTGACGCCGTCTCGTGGTGCTTCTTCCGTGCCGCAGAAGCTTATAGAAGCGATAGAGAAGGTTTCAGAAAATTGTGAACATGATTACGGCCAACGTCTGTATACGGACACGGCACCTAAAGAAAATAGAAGCTTCGCTTCAATAAGACATTCGGTAGCCATAAAAAGGCATTTTTTGATGTTATATTACCATCTTTGAGTTATTTTTATAAGAAATAATTATGCTTACCCATAGATATTTAGGCTGTATTCCACAAATATAACTACTAAGAATTATTATGCAGCTGATTTATAAAATACGATTATATTGTAAGAGATAACTTAAAAGTTATTAAGAATTATACCCTTTTTTGTTAAAATAATGTATCTTTAATATTTTTTTACAAAAATAGAGCTAATTTGAAAAGCAGAAGAGTTAAGCTCAAATTTATGCCACATATATAGCATATGTGGCGCCCTCTATCAGCTACATCAAAGTATGCATTAAATTATAATTTTTCATACTCAATAGCACCCAGCTGTAAATTTGTATACATAAGTGTTTATAAACATGAAAGTTATAGCGAAAAATAAAATTTTAAATTTCTATTTTAAGATCCTGTATATTTCTTAATACCAACATTTTGTTAAAGCAAGTTGCCTTATCTGCTGCTGGTAATATTTTAAGTGTAGAATCTACCGTTTCTTTTTGTACAATTACTTAGACCACCCAGTATATCAGGTACAAAATCGGTTCGAGCACACTACCTTGAGTACACCAGGTATGATGGGGTAGAGTTTTGTAAAGGCTTCACTATACCTTACTAGATATCTTCTTTCTGTAATGTATGATTTAAGCAGTTTGAAATAAGTGTAAGGTAGGTTTTTGTTGTATAGAAAGTGTATAGAAGAGTATAAACGAGTATAGATAAAACATATATAGAAGTGTATAGAAAGTGTATAGACTTGTATAAAAGTGCTGTGTGCCACACCTTGTCAAAAGCTTGATAGGCATCTAAAAAGGCTGCAGTACAGTATTGCTTGTTTTCGAGATTAGTTCTTATTGTTGTGTATAATCTGTGAACTTGTTCTATTGTAGCGTGTTGGTCAGGTATAAGACACTTTTTGTCCAATATTGGTTTGATTTTTCTCCAACAGAAGTTTTTCAAAAACCTTAAAAATGACTGGGAGTAAACTAATCGGTCGGTATGATTTGACATATTTTGGATCTTTACGAGGGTTTTGAATGATTATCTGTACCACTTTCCATTGCAAAGGAAGTAGTGCAGACTTAGCATAGCACTAAAGATCATAGTAATTATTCTGTAGCAATCATGGGTTACTTCTTGAAGGACCTTAACTGTAATAAGATCGTATCCTGGCGCCTTATTGGGTTTTATAGCATTTTTTATTTTCTGTTTTACTTCTTTAAGCTTTGGTTTGAGCTTACATCGCTTTATTATTTCAGTTGTTTGACTATTTACTGAAGTTTTTTGAGCCCAAGAAACACATGTTTGATTTCTAGTTTCCTTGGTGTCTGTTCTATGAGCCTCTGGTTTCTTCCTAACTGGGGGAATTTTTCTTTTTGTATTTGTTTGTACAAGCTGCAGCCCTTATAGTTGGCCGGATGGTTTACCATACACAGTACTCCCTGTAAGCTATTGCTGCATTCCTTGCGTGAACGATTTAAAGTATGGTGATTACTTGCGCACTTTACGCATCTTGCAGGCAGGTGGCAGAATTTTTTTGTGTGGCCGTAGCGTTGACAATTGGTACATTGGGGTACCTGACGCTTGGGATGTGGTGTTTTAAAGGAAACAATCATGTTTTGGAGTACTCTTACTTTATATACGTCTTTATTATTCATAATATTATATTATATACGCAGCTTGATTAGGTGATCCTTTCAGTTAGATTTGGGGTTGCAGCGATTTGTTTTTATCAGTTTTTTATTTCATCTTCCTAATCCATAGAATTTTATTAATAAGCAATGCACTGTTTTCATTTAGCAATCCGTTTTCATTTCACTTTATTATTTTTACTGGAAACACAATTTAAAACTTATAATTTTACACTTCTTTACATCTCGATCACACTTTGATCCTATTCATTATTTGCCAATGATCTCTAAAATATTTTATATTCTATGTCTTTCTATGATTTATTGGTTTTTTAGCACAAGAAACATTATACTATTTTGACTGTTATAGTTGCATTTTTACAAAACAGCATTGTTTTAATTACTATTTATAACTGGGAATAAGCCACATTAAAGATAAAAATACATTTATTGACGTTTCAATTTCCTTCTTATTCTTATTCTTATTCTTATTAAGGATATTCTCAAGTTAAAGTTGATTTCATGTAATCGAATGAACTATCTTATAAGTAAAGTCGTCCCAGGAGCGCAACTGAACAATATTGGCAATATCATTTTAAAGTCGTCTACTTTAAAATGCATAATGTATGTCTGAATTGTCAATATAAATGAGTCAGATAAAATTAAATTATCAGAAGAATTTTTTCACTATGTAACAAAAAACAAAATTTGTTTAATTTACTATTTGTATTTTGAGAACGATTTCCGAATTGGAAATTGAAACGTCAATAAATGTATTTTTATCTTTAATGTGGCTTATTCCCAGTTATAAATAGTAATTAATTTACAATGCCACAAGAAAATAGCTTCAGAACAGCATTGTTTTTCTGTTCAATGTATAAATTTGTACTTACAATTTGAATTCCTTCCTGGTTGGAATTATAGGCAACGGTTAGAACAGTAGCACCTTGACTAAACATCGGTATTTGAGAAATCTGATACTTGGGTGAACTAACAGGACTTGCTTGGGATACGGGCGTCGGTTGAGGATTCACTACTTGTATCTGCACAGTTTGTTGGGGGTCCCCAGGTTTAGCACCTGGCATTGTTATAGGCAGCGTTATGATTTGTGTTCCCTAAAATAAACACAAGCAAATAGTCTTAGAGAACAAATTTAATCTTGGGACACAAATAACTGTCAAAAGTTTAGAGAGCGTTTAAGTATTATGTAACGTAATTTTTGAAGATTATTGAACCCCTTCCCCCATACCTAAACGTTACGTACCATACAAGTGAGCATTTTTACCCAAAAGTGACCCAGAAAGTCGGTAAAATACCTTTAATTATTGTTTTAATCGCCTTTGTAGTAATAATAAATAAAACAAGAGATTTTTCTCTCGCAATAATAAACTTTTAATTTGCCGCGTTGGGGGTCTTCCTCGGCTTCGCTTGTCAGCCCGTGGTCTCCACTCAAGCAATTTTTTTGTCCAACTTTCGTGTTTCATTCTTGCAACATGTCCTGACCATCTCCATTTTGTAATGAATAATGCAAAGAAAAATGTTTGCAATGTGTGGCATATCTGACTAATAATTCTTTATTCGTCGCATATTTTGCCAACTGTTTCTTCGGAATTGCTATAAAAACAGACTTTAGCCATTCCTCAGTTATTTTAATCAATAGTACATACACCATTAAAAAGCTTAACTAAAGCACTGATGTGATTCTCTTGTATCACTTTAAAGAGTTCAGCTGGGATGTTGTCTGGTCCAGTTGCTTTCTTAGTTTTGACTGATTTTCATCAATAACTTTTCCTACATTATCTACTAGAGTAGTATTAAAAAAAATCAATTTCCGAAGTGGAAATTGAAACGTCAATAAACGTACTTTAACCTATAATTGTGGCTTATTCCCATTTAATTAGTAATTAATTTAAAATGCCATTAGAAAATAGCTCCAGAACAATATTAAGAACTCTCTTGTGTTCCAAATTGAACAGATCATGCCTGTTTTCTAATTCTTGCGTTTCTAAAGCCACTTTTCTGTAGCTGCTCGTATTTTTGTTTTGTTTGTTCTATATTCATCTGCCTTGTCCTTATATTGTCTTCGTTATTCAAAAAGGTCTAGTATTTTTTCCGTCATCCATTGAACTTATTAGTTACACTATGTTCTTCTATTATCATCACAAATTATATGACATAATGTTCACGAAATAATTTCTATGTTTTCTCAACATTTTCGGTTGTTCTCATTTCTTTTATGTAATTGTTTACATCATTTTCTATTAATAATTCAATTGGAGTTACTACTCCTCTATCCATAAGTTTGTCAGCCAATCACATTTTTTCAAAATTGGAATCAGGAATTATTAAATTACTTGCATAAACTTCGTCTTCGGGGAGCCAATCAGAATTCTTAGACAATGTTTTATTGTAGGGCACAATGCAGAGAAGCTCGTTTGCCCTTTTAGCAGCAAGACGCTGCGGGATACACTAGTGTGGGATGTAAACTTACCGATTGCACATATTCTGTTCTTGAGGTCGCATTATAGAGATGGGCAAAAGAAATCGTAGGGCACCTTAATGTACATAACGTGTTGTTCGAACCCTCATGCCTCACGTGTAACGCACCGTAACGTTTTACACAACCCCCCACTAATTGAACGACCTCTTACTCGAAAGTTATCACATTACCTGGTTTTGTTGAGAGGCTGCAGTAGCAAAGGCATTCGTATCTAATGGACGTATGTAGTGTACACCGTTTTCACCACCCTGTAAGACACCGACTACTTGTCCGTTAGGAGTAGTGACGTTTTGAGTTATCTTTCCGGCGGTAAATTGAGTAGCCACAGGTAGCGCGGCCGTTAAAGGCACGCCAAACGGGGTAAAATTCATTTTTTATCTGTAACAAAAAAAAAACTTGTAAATTTTAATATTAAAAGATTGCATACCGAATTGTAAGAGTTTAGTTATCTTCTTATCTTAAAGATCTTCTTTTTTCTAGTTGTCTACTATCTAATAAAAGTATAAATTCTTTTTGTAATCACTTGCTTTGAATAGCTACTTTTTTGCTACATAGGACCGAATAGAGCTAATAAAAAGTGTATCATGTCAATTCTGTGTATGTTGCAGAATTCAGGATGAGGCAGATTGCATTTACACACGGAATTGTGGCACCATGGGCGTGGTCGTACAGTAGCGCCCTCTGAGATGACTTTGCGCTGTTGTCTAATTTTAGTTAAAATAAAAATAGTTTTAGTTCGCATTTGAAAAAGTGTATAAGTGTGTGGTAGGTGCCACAATTTAGTGCAAAAATTTTCTTATACACGATGGCGATGTCGACAAGAAATAAAAGGATATTATCTTTAATGAATATTTCCAATGAAATAAATCTATTATTTCTTCCGAAATATAAGACTACTCATGGTACTTCTGTAACACAACAGCAAATTGCAATAGAAGGTAAGTTCCACAAGATCTTGTAAAAATAAATTTTAATTTGAAAATCAAATCGATACTTATTTTTTTTTTTGAATTATGCCTATTATTAGTACAATTACTTTATTTTAATTAACACATTAGAAAATAAGTTACATACTTGACTTAACTATTTTTATTTATAATTATACAAAATCTATAACAATTAATTTGTTTAAAATATATTTGTAATGTTTTTTAGCCAAGAAAAATAATTATTGTAAAATAATAACATAATTCAAGACAAACTAACACAAATTGATTTGATTTTCAAAAGTTATTTTTAAAAGATATTATTTATCTTTGTTTATTTATTTATAATACATAAATATTTAAGTTACCTTTCTTTTCATAACCTTTTCTGTTACTAATAATAAGAAGAAAGTAAAATTTTGCAAAATAAATATTTATTTTAAATCGTTTAAACTAGTTCCTCGATTAAATAGTTAATTCATAAATTAACTTGAACTGAAACATATTTCTTATTTTCTTACGAAAACCCTAAATATACCTTTCTACTTAGGGCAGAATAGAAAGAGAACATATTATAGAGTAGAATAGGGTTAATACAAATATAAGTTGTTGGATACCTGTATAGAAAGTAGTAGTATAATATACATATTCTACCTCAGTGTCACGAAAAATGCTTTTTATTTGTTAATGTCCCTGAAAGGTCTATTATGAATTAAAAATAACTAAAATCAAGTTGACTTTTAGTAAATACAATAGAATTATACAATAATACAATTTCACAGAATTGTTTCCAAGTAAAAAGTATTCAAATTGAAATAATATTACTGAAAAATATTGAATAGAAAGAACGAGAAATAATTGAAAAAATATTACTTATTGAATTAATTACCCAATAGTAAAGAAGGGTCGAGATAGCTCGCGGTACCCTATTGTCAAAAAGATTTATATTTAGTACCTGAAAATTTGGAAAACAATTTAAGTATACATTATTATTCAAATTAGACGGGAATTAAAGAGTGCTCAAAACATATTGCTTGGATTATCGGTTTAGTATATTAGGTACATTCTAGGATATAAATATTTTACGAATATTAAAATAAGACGGAAATTCCAGATATGTTAAAATAGCTTATATTCTATAGTAAAATGAATTTATATTAACTGAGCTTTTCAAAAATTTAAAGAAACTAAAGATTATATAAAGATATAAAGAAAATTTAAATATTAGTTTTTATTTTAATTTTATGTCCACATTACAATTGAAAGTTAACTATATGCTATTAATAAACATAAAAGAATATTACAAACAAATATTAACCTATTTATTTTGTTTATGGAAATGTTTGAAACAATCACTTAAGCAGATAAGTAAAGGTAATGTATTTTGACAAGAGCTATGAGTCATGCCGATTTAGTAGACAAGTTTACCTGTTATTTACAAGGTCATAGCTCTTGTCAAAATCCATTACCTTTACTTATCTGCTTAAGTGATTGTTTCAAACATTTCCATGTTTTTTTTTTGGGACAATCCACACACTCGTGCATTATTTTTATGACAGAATATGCTCTGAATCGTTTCCTTTTCATTTCGCCTTTCTCTGATATACTAACAATTTTTGTACGTAAATATTCGTGTGCAGTATTCCGTCGTTCTCTGCTGTTATTGTTATGAATTGATTCACGAATTACTTCTAACCGGTTAGGTTACCGGTCTTGGTCGATACTCTAACTGTCGTTGAAGTAGAAGGAAAGAGATGAAGAAAATTCCAGTAATTTTGGCGCCCATAATAAAGGAGTCCGGTATCAGTGTAACATTTCATCGTAAAACAAATACATTTTTGCAAGATCAAATCCATCATTAAGCCACCTCAGAGGTCAAGACATATGAGGAGGTACAACTTGAAAACACGTTACGATCAGTGGAACAAAGCTAAGGAAGTATGTAGCGACGGTTTGTCAGTTGTTCAACATGTCAGAGTATGAATATGATTGGCTGGCAATACATTTAGGACATAAGAGTACATAGGGAATTTTACAGATTGCATGAAAGTGCAGTAGAATTAACTAAGTCAGCAGGCTACTGATTGCTGTAGACAAAAGTGAAGCCAGCCGATTTGCCGGAAAACGCATTGAGGATATTTCCATAGAAGGTGGAAATTCAAACGTGTTGAAATTCTTAATTTGTATATTCATGGGGTTAAAGTTCATAAATGGCTACACAAAATAAAATGTTGCTGAAAATAAATATTTGGCTAAATTTAATGAAAATGAGCTAATTATTAGAATTTTTAATAATTTCACTTTGTAAAATATTTTTGTTATACAATAACTCTAATTTCAAGTTAATCGCATCCACGACAAGTTTGAATTTAAATATCTTGAACATGAACATATGTATTTTCAAACTGTCATTAACATTTTACTTTTCATTTAAATAGATACTTGATTCTTTTTTAAAATCTCAAAGTTTGTAATTTTCGCATTTTTGTTCAACGGTTTTACCATTAGCAAAACCAGCTTATTGGATAGCAGACACGTGTTTCGCTCATTATGCTAATATCTTCAGGAGACAAGTTTTGTAATCCAACATCACATATATATTTTTGCCCAAACTTCACCTATTTAACTCAAGTATTTTCATACTTGCGAATGATCGGATACTTTCTACTTCACATATTATACAATCGGGTACACTTAAGACACAAAACGGTATCAAGTGTTGCTCGACTTCGCTCACATTGAACAAAGGTTGCGTCATTATTGTAATTATGTATAATTTCCTTCCACTTTTACTTTAAATATTAGTTTACTATTAGTTTACTTGTAAATCTTCCCCTTAAGAACTTTCCTGATAGTCGTCAATTAGTGCCGTAAAGCCAATAATCACCTGTCTCCAGCTAACCATAACGAAGCTTTACACTGTTTTCTCAAACATTTAATAACAATCCTTGTATCGACATCTTATTCTTCTTATGGTGCCCTATCCAATTAGTGGATGTTGGCGACCATTCTGGCATACTCCTCTCGATCTTGTGTGGCTCTAAAGAGGACATGGGCATCGAGGTTTGTCCAATCCCCTATGTTTTTAAGTCATGAATATTTCTTTCTTCCCATGCCCCGTTTTCCTTCTATCTTCCCTTCCACAAGAAGCTTTAAGAATTAGTACTTGGAATTTCGAAATATATGACCCAGATAGCTGTTTTTCTTCTTTTTATTATCGGCATCTAAGTAACATTTATTTAATTTGTATCATTCAATTATTTATTTAATTAAATGAAATTTAACGCCAAAAAATTGCACACATATAATACTGGCATAATTGCTATATAATTTATACCAAACAGCACCCTCACACCGGTTATTGAAATTTCAGCATTTAGTTTGCCATGTACCGTTGACCTGAGGATGCATAGTAAATTACAGTATGCGAATCCGTTTGTCGGTGATGGAATAAATTGATTGTGAGTAAGTCTTACTCTTATTTCTCGTTACCTAAATTGAAATGGGCCCAGATAGGCAAAATATTTAAGATTTAAAGAAATGTTTATTTTCAATACCCTAATATTTGTAAAGGTAATGGATTTTGACAAGAGATATGAGTCATGCCGATTTAGTACACAAGTTTACCTGTTATTTACAAGGTCACAGCTCTTGTCAAAATCCATTAGCTATATATAAGGATATTTCACATTGTATGGGAATTAATTTGTATATTTAGATCAAATCTAGCTTATTTATAAAATAAATATATTGTTCTGAAACTATTTTCTTATGGCATTTTAGAGAAATTAATATTTTAATGAGAATAAGCCACAAAAAGTACGTTTATTGACGTTTCAATTTTCCGGAAATCAATTTTTGAAGTGGAAATTAAAATGTTAGTAAACGTACTTTAACCTTTAATTCTGGCTTATTCCCATTTAAATATTAATTACTCTAAAATAGATATGTTGTTAAATCTACTGTTCTCTACATTTTTTTCGTATTTGGAGGACGAAGCTGATAACATTGAACCAGAAAGTGATGACAAAAATATTGAGATAGATCCAAAGAGTGTAGCGGGTGTGCCTGAAGTACAGACAACGAAATGGCGAATCGCAAAAAAGATTAGTTACACTTTGTAGAATTGAATTAATATTACGGCATCTCATTATTTTGAAACATACTGTATGCTTTTAAATTGTTTTCATTAATAAAGGTAATAATACTAATTCCAAAATTATGTTTCAGTGTCACGTATAACGATGAAAAAAAAAAGAGATGAATTGGTCAAAGGAGGAAATTTATCAGTCCTCATATTTTTCAGAGTGAATCTAAAAAAAGGAATTGTTCCCAATAAAGAACAGTGTATGCAATGTACTGTCGAAAATAAAGCTACATTGGAAAGAAGAAATTGGAAGAATATTAAAGATTGCGTTTATACTGAAATTAAAGATTGTAAAAGAAGGAAAA